GAGCGTCAGCAATCGGCCGACGAGGTCGATAGTGAGGCGGCTGTCTCCCGAGGAAGTTAAACGTCGACGAGAGAAAGGCTTATGTTTTAAATGCAAGGAGAAGTTTACACCAGGTCATCAGTGTAAGCAAGCCTTTGTGATCGAATTTGCTAATCCCGATGAGGAAGGATCTAAGAACGAGGAGGAACCACATCAGGATATCGTAGTTGAAGGGCCTGACGAAGAAGCGGAAATCTCAATGCACGCGATGGCCGGGATACGAGGGCCTCGAACGATGCGGTTGCCGACCTGGGTCAAGGATCGAAAGGTGGTGGTGCTAGTAGACAGCGGGTCATCACACAACTTCATCAATGCCGAGTTGTCCCAAAAGCTGAACTTACCAACCACGAATATTGAACCTTTTGAGGTACGGGTAGCCAATGGTGAGAGGCTGCAATGCACTAAATCTTTTCGGAAGGTGACAATCAGGTTCAGCGGAGTTACGGTGAAGGCTGATCTCTATGCCTTACCTCTGGTTGGGCCGGATGTCGTCCTAGGAGTACAATGGCTCGAGAGGTTAGGCAAGGTGACCACTGACTATCGAACAGGGATTATGGAGTTCAACTCCGGAGGTCAGCAAGTCACACTCAGTGCGGGCAATGAAAAAGGTGCCAAAGAAGTAGGGCTTAAGAGTATTGAGAAGGTCTGGCAGGGAGGAGGCCAAATATTTGCCGTAGTAGTGGAGAAGACTGAGGCACACATAGATCAAGAGGAGCAACAGCAGGGAGATGTGCACGAGCTTCTCCAGGAATTTGAGGGAGTATTGGGCGAACCTAAGGGACTACCTCCACACTGGGAGTTCGATCATCGCATACCTCTGATCAACGAACAACATGCCATACACGTTCATCCCTATAGGTACGCTAACTTTCAGAAAACCGAGATCGAACGGCAAGTGGCCGAGATGCTTGAATCTGGACTAATCCAGCATAGCAAGAGTCCGTTTTCTTCTCCAGTCCTGTTAGCCAAAAAGAAAGACGGCACGTGGAGGTTCTGTACTGATTACCGAGCTCTAAACGCTGCAACCATCAAGGACCGATTTCCTATCCCAAGTGTTGATGACATGATTGATGAGTTAGCCGGGTCACGCTATTTCTCTAAACTCGATCTAAGAGCTGGTTACCATCAGATTCGACTCCACAAAGCCGACATTCCAAAGGCAGCCTTTCGTACACACCAGGGGCACTATGAGTATCTTGTCATGCCATTCGGATTATGCAACGCCCCATCCACTTTCCAGTTCGCCATGAATTCTATCTTCAAGGAGTATTTGCGTAAGTTCGTTCTGGTATTCTTTGATGATATCCTGATCTATTCGAAGTCATGGGGCGAACATCTTGGGCATTTGAGAGTAGTGCTCGAAATTCTGGAGGCCAACTCATTACACATAAAGCCATCTAAATGTTCTTTTGGGCAGATGATGGTTGAGTATTTTGGGCTCTTCATATCATACGAGGGCGTGAAGGTCGACCCACGAAAGATTGAGGCTATGGTCGATTGGCCTAAGCCAACAAGTTCACGCAGTTGAGAGGATTCCTAGGACTCACGGGCTACTACCGAAAGCTCGTGAAGGATTATGGAACCATCGCCAAGCCACTGACAGAGATGACTAAGAAAGGCGGGTTCACATGGACCGAAGCTAGCGAGGAGGCGTTTGGAAAATTGAAAGAAGCCATGACTACAACGCCAGTACTCGCCATGCCCAGGTTTGATGTCTTGTTCGAGGTACACACCGATGCGAGTGACATTGGAATTGGAGCTGTGCTAGTACAAGAGGGGCGACCCCTAGCCTATCTCAGCGAGGCGCTGGGCACTACTCGGTTGGGTCTGTCAGTGTACGTGAAAGAGATGCTAGCAGTTGTCGAGGCTGTAAGGTGCTGGACGCCTTATCTATTAGGTCGACGTTTTCAGATTGTTACCGACCAACAACCGCTTAAGCACCTATTGGAGCAAAGGATTGTTACCCCCGAGCAGCAGAAGTTCGTGTCTAAACTTATGGGGTTTGACTTCGAGATAATCTATCGACCAGGTCGACAGAGCGCGGTAGCCGACGCACTATCCCGACGGACAGATGTGGCCGAGTTGAGTGCTATCACTGGGCCAACTTGGGCCATTTGGGAAGAGATCAGGAAGGTGCAAGTAGAGGATACCAATTGCCAGGAGCTGCGCCAATCGATAGAAGCAGGTAAGACAACTGCTATCGACTACGAGTTGCATAATGGTCTACTTCTACACCGAGGTCGAGTCTATTTC